AAAAAGTTTTTATCACTTGATTTGTTGGCATCGTGTCTCTTTTCTGGGATAAGGCATAGAGCTCTTAGCAAGTATTAACTTCTGTCTTGTCTCTGTCCTGTTCTCTTAGGAATTCTGTATAAAGATGCTGCTCTCATTGAACTGGTCAGCACAATTTATTTGAGCTATCACATTCCACTTTGCTCTCCTTATCTTTTTCCCACCCTTTATTAATGTGTTCAGCATGTTTTTGTGAAATGTCCCATTGTTAACTTTTTAAAAATGTAAATTATCTCTCATTTTTTAAAAAGAAAAATTTAACCTCATCTTATTTCCTCAAAGGTATTAGGAGGTATATTCTTGGCTTTGAAACCATATGAGGTCACACACCTTGTAGCTGATAATGGACATCCTATATGGAAACCAGTAGACTATCCACATTTGACAGTCTGTTTGAAGGAGCAGTTTGCCAGAACTGTCACCACGCGGGGTCCAGTTGTGCCTGTCAGAGCCAGGTTCATACTAGATATGAGATGGACTTTTGTTAAATAAATGCTTTATAGTGTTCTATGTCATGTGGACTATATTTTTAAATAGATTATTTAAAATTTCCCAGATGACTCGTGTTTTCCTTAAATTGGGATTTTGGTATATTGTGGAAAAGAAAAAAGTTTGATCTGGAATGCTTAACCATTTTGACTAGTTATCTATGGCAGTTTTGACAGAGTTAAGGTGATAATGTAACATTTTTGGTGGGGAAGGAAACTGACCACATTACTGCTGTAGGTAGTTACAGACTGTTTGTATTCTTGTTCTGTTTGTGTCATTCTTTATTTGTCTTCTGATGATGCTCATGGCACACACCTAGACAAACAGCACCTTGGGATCTCAGCCACCTCTTGGCATTTAAGGACACCACATGTTTACTAAGAAACCAGAACATCCATTGAGAAAATGAACCAAAACCACAGTGTGGTTTCTTCCCTAAAGCCGGGCACCCCGGGAACGTGTTTCTAAGACTGTAAGAAGCCCGAATGGTGCTGATTAAAGGCCTATGGTCTAGAGAACCCACTCACCGGCAGCTGAAGAACACAGGCAAGAAGGCCGATGCTTTCTGATATAGGGCATTGACCACACACTTCCTAATGATTTATTTTACTCTCTCTTGATTGGGTCTGTGACAATTGTAACTTATTAAGTTGCTTCTTTTTTTTTTTTTTTTTTTGGTGAGGATGATTAGCCCTGATCTAATATCTGTTACCAATCCTCCTCTTTTTGCTGAGGAAGATTGGCTCTGGGCTAACGTCTGTGCCCATCTTCCACCGCTTTATATATGCGATGTCTGCCACAGAATGGCTTGATAGGCAGTGTGTAGGTCTGCACCCGGGATCCAAACCTGTGAACCCCAGGCTGCCAAAGCAGAGTGCGCGAACTTAACCACTGCACCACCGTACCAGCCCCTTAAGTTGCAATTTTTAAGTCTTGCCCTTGGGCTTTGCATAGAGTCTAAGTCTACCCTATGGCCAGAAGGTGCTGAGGACCAAGTGATTTATCTTCTACAGTGTTTCTCAGCTGGGCGATCACAGAGGAGTTCCTAAGGGAAGGGACTGTGGCTTCCAGAGCTCTGGACAGCAATTTACTGGCTCAGCTCGGGGGGCAGAAATGGGGGGAGATGTGCCATGAGGCCAGCAGAGATGGATCCGTATACAACCTGACCCAAGAAGTGCTCTATTAACAAGCATTCAAAGCTAAATAGTCAAACCATGATTTTGATGACAATAAAAGCAGCAACAACATTGCCCTTCTCACATGCCCAGTGTGAAGACAGCTGGCACGTGTATGACTAGTGAATGCAGAAACATTTAGGCTGCTCAGTGGCAAATGCTTTACCTTAAATTGATTTTAAATATTTTCTACTTTTTCAACCCATAACTCAGCTTTGCTTTAAGTGGTGCTTAACAAGTGATCAGAGGTTGGAGGTGGAGGCAGAATTTGAAGAGCTACCCTCACTTTTTAAGGCGAAGAAGTGATTCCAAAATAATAATTAAAATAACGATAATAATAATAAATTTTATTTACACACAGGTAGAGGCAGAACAGCAGCCTCTACCTGTGTGCTGGGAATGGTTGTCCTTAAGCCCAGTCCCTGGCAGTTGTTCTGTTCCACAAAAAGTGGTTTAATGGCACCTAAGTACATAAAAAAATAATACACCTTACTAGTAATCAAAGAAATGCAGATGAAAACCAATGAGACATTATTTTCACTTATCTAGTTAGGAAAAAAAAATTACTTGTAATAACCGGCAATGAGAAAGGTTCAGCAAGACCAGCTCTCCTCCCCACTACAGATGGGAGGATAAATTGGAGTGGTTGATTCCAGGTCAGTTTGATAATATGGATAACATAAAACCCTTGATGTACTAATTCCTTTTCTAAGGATTTATTCTAAATAACCTGAGTGATGCTTAGTGTTTGTGAACAATAGTGTTTCTCAAAGTATTTTAGAATATAATCTACATAGATGTCCACCAGTGGTACAATGGTTAAATAAATCATGTACATATGATAGAATACTATTCATCCATTAAAATTATGCACTTGAGGAATTTTTCATTGCATTAAAGAAGTAAAATGGAGTGGCTAACTGAATGGGCTTTATGGTCACACTTCTTGGGTTTGAATTCTTTCCCCACTACTTACAAGCTGTGTGACTTGGGAGAGTTTAACCTTTAAACCGTTAAACCGAGTTTAACGGTTTAACCTTTCTGTGCCTCAGTTTCCTTATCCATAAAAGGGAGAAATAATGGTGGTTGTAAAGTTTACATGAAATAATTCATTTGGCTTGCTTTGCACAGTGCCTGACACGGCATAAGTGCCCAGTAAATGTTAGTGTTAAGCAAGTTACATAACCTCTGTGCCTCAGTTTCCTCCTCTGTAAAATGGGAACGACAGTGGTTCCTACCTCAGAAGGGTGCTGATGAGGCTTAGATGAATTAATGTAGAGAAAGCACTTCATACTCACTGAGCACATAGTAACCACTGTGTGAGTGTCTACTGTTGTCTGTACTATAGGTGCTTGGAAACGTTCACATAAAACCAGATCCCTGGTAGAACACTGGGCTGTTTGGAAATCCACATCCTCACACACACAGACTAGAAGATGTACGGGCACGCCTCATTTTATTGCGCTTCACAGATAGTGTGTTTTTTACAAGACCCTCCACCAGCAAAAAGATTACGACTCACTGAAGGCTCAGACGATAGCATTTTTTAGCAATAAAGCATTTTTTAATTAAGGTATGTACATTGCTTCTTTAGATATAATGCTGTTGCACACTTAATAGACTACGGTATAGTGTAAACATAACTTTTCTATGCACTGGGAAACCAAACAATTCGTGCGACTGGCTTTATTGCGATATTCGCTTTATTGCGGTAGTGTGGTGGTCTGGAACAGAACTCGCAATGTCTCTGAGGTGTGCCTGTATATCAAAATAATCATCTCTGGGTAGATTGGTTTTTGTACGTTTCTAAGTTTTTCCAAATTTTCAACAATGAATATATATTATTTTTATAATTTAAAAAACAAACAACAATTTTAGAGTTCAAACATTTTCTGCTTAGCCCACAGTTAATCAAAACAGCTGAGTGCCCCAAGCTTCCTTCCAGTTAATAGTTTTTCTGTGCTACAGTCCTGATCTCTGGTCATTTGCAGGCACTAGCTTAATATTTCTGCACAGTGTAACGGTGTTCAGAGTCTTTCTCCAGCTGCGTTAAAGCAGGGATTCCAAACTCTGGGTGCATGCTAGGGTCATTTGAGAGATTTTGAAATCTTTTGGTATTGGGCTCCTCGCTAGACTGCTTAGATGCAAATATTTTGGAGTGAGCCCTGGGCATTGGTATTTTTTAAAGGCTCCAGGGGACTTCTATTGTGCAGCCAGGTGGTGAACAACAGCCTGGAGCTGGGCTGGCATTTGATACCACCATTTCCTGCCTGGCGGAGGGCAGGAACTGGGCCTGCATGAACAGGGCCCCCTCTTCCTCTGGTCAGTCTCAGAGTCGGCCCCAGCGGCATTTCCCACATCTCCTGAAGATAAGTCTCCCCTGGTGCTTGTTAAAAATGTTGATGCCTGGACCTGAACCCGAGCCTGTTGAGTCTGAACTTTCCCAGAAATAGGCTTGGTCATGTGACTCTTACCATCGGTGAAGTGTGGGAACTCTGCTAGAGCCGAGATTCTGTCCCAGCCGCACACTGGGAATACCCGGGGGACCTGGACAAAGGCTGACGCCTAGTCTCCCTCCCACCTCCATGGTTCTCACGTGATGGAGGTAGGATACTGCCTGGGCATCAGGAGTTGTGAAGTCCCTCCAGATTCTACTGTGGGCATGGTTGACAATCCCCAGCAGACGATTCTCGGAGTGGGCTGCTGGAACCAGCAGCATCGGCATCACCTGGGGATGTGTTAGAAATGCATATCATGGAGCCCCACCTAGAGCTGCAGAATCAGAAACGGGGGTGGGACCCAGCAGTCTGCCTTAGCCACTCTCTTGTGATTTCTGCACATGCTCAAGCTTAAGAAGCACTGCTCTAGAGCAGGGTTGTGAAAAGCAGGTTCCTAGACTCACTCTCAGAGATTGTACAGTGGTCTGGACTGAACTTGGAATGGAGGCCCGGTGGCCCAAGAGCACGCTTGAGAAACACTGCTCTTGGGTTTATCCTAGTTCCCTTGGACATTTCAAAGTTATAAGGGCCTTGACATCTCTCAAGTACTGCCAATGTCCCAGTGTTCTTGTGGGCAGCCTGTTGCTGCCACTCCTGGGCAGAACACATGGCTGTCTTCCAGCCAAAATTACTGGGACATGTTTGCTTTAAAGTGGACAAGTGCTGTGGTTAGAAATCTATTTTTCAAAAGTACTGACCTAAGTTTGACTTGGAACAGCAGTCACAGAAGCAGAGAAGCACATGCTTCTTCTGTGAGCTTCCTCCCGTGGTGTGACATCCGTGCCTCTCTGTTTTGTAGGTTTTATCCACCCGTGCCAGCGTGGTCCTCTCAGCCCCAGACCGGTCACGATCACGCCTATTGGAGAAGAAGAGGACAGGAGGTCAGTGGCTTGCTAGGGCCAAGGGACCGAGAAGACCTGGAGGCCAGAGGAATGGCCCAAGCACACAGTCTGCCCCACGTGAGGGAGGGTCCATGGGAAGTTGGAGGAAGGACAGAGAATGTGATGAAGAAGGCAGTTTGGGAAGAAGAGCTGAGAATGGCGTCTCCTGCCAAGTGGCAGAATGTAAGCCTCGAAAGCTGGAGCCAGCCAAGGAGATTAGGAAGGCAGATGTCTGATGGTGATGGGGAGAAATCGTTTCAAGATCTGTACCCGTTCGTGCAAGGAGAACATGTATTGAATTCCCAAAGCAAAGGGAAATCCCAGTCGTTGCCTAGAGTTCTTTGCCCCGAGAGCCTGAGTTGCATGGAAATTCCCATTCCGATAAATGATGGACATTTACCCAGTATTCCTAAAATGCCATTTTATCCTCCAAATTCTGCACCAAATCTGGAATCTACCAGGAACCCTGAGAAGGGTGGCTCCTCGGTCCCTCTACCCCGGCCTAAGTTTGGGAGACCCCTCAAGCCTCCATCTTATGACTCTCACCAATACTCTAGGGGAGGAGTGGAAAACAGCGACCATGCGGACAACCAGCAGACAGAGCTGTGTGTTTCCTACTTGACCAAAACTAACGACCCGAGGCAGGAGCTCTGCACACCCGACTCTGGTTTGGAGCCTCCAGTGTACGTGCCTCCACCCTCCTACAGGTCGCCGCCCCAGCACATCTCAAACCCCTACGTGGAGGATGCAGCACCCAGGCCTGTGTGTGGTGGTCGCCGTCAACAGCAGCATCCAACCGAGAAGGCCAGTGCCAGTTGTCAGCTTCTTTCTGGCTCCCTTGGGACCGGAAGTGAGTATGGCGCGAGCCCACGCTCTCCCCGAGGACTCCCTCCACAGCCCCGGCCCACCACTGCTTATGACGGCTCTGTTCTGTACATTCCCTTTGATGACCCACGGATCCGACATATTAAACTAGCTCAGCCCCAGGGCTTCTGTGAAGAAACAAAGCTTGATGAGAGGTCATACACCGCCGGTCCTGTCACTCCCCCAGAGCCAGCTCGTGGAAACGTGCAACGTGGTGGTGCTGTTTTGAATCCACACAGCATGAAACCCCCACCAGGGAATGGGAGAGGCCCCCCTTTTGCTGATCCCAGCACCCGGTGGCTGTGGGGCCAGCTCCCCAGGGATGGAGAAAATGGCGGCTTTCCTGACCCAAGAGACCACTGTGTCTCGAGAGGACAGCAGCCTGACGTGAGAGGCAGCCAGCACGGACACACAGAAGGCCGAGTTCCCTCCCCACAGCCGCAGAGCAAGAGTACCTGTGACACCCGGACCAAGCTCAAAACGTTTGAAACTGGGATTCAGACCAAGAAAAGTTCAAAGAAAAAAATGAACGAAACGATATTTTGTTTGGTTTCCATCCCAGTTAAATCAGAATCCCATCTGCCAGATATAGATACGAACAACAATGACTTAAAACAGAGTGCTGATAAAAAGAATGGGCTCGATAAGAGCGCAGCTCTACAGGAACAAAGTCTGCTGAGCACGTCTTCCACCGACCTGGAGCTGCAGGCTCTCACAGGAAGCATGGCTGGGAGAACAGAGCTCCAAAAACAAGATCTGGGGGAACAAGAAGACGACAAACAAACAAATGACCTCAGATTCTTTCACCCCACAAAGCACAGAGAACTCAAGCGTTCTGGCTTGTGGCCAGGGCACCAGTACAGAGATCAGCAGACACAAACCAGTTTCACCGAAGAATCCAGAAGCCCACAGCCCCTCCCTGGTGAGAAGCTGGGAGACTCACCTAACGCAGTGCTGACTCCAGAATGTTTAGACCCTGGTCCTGCCTCTGAAGCGCAGGTACTCATGGCATTAACCTCCAGTGACCAAAACCAGAGGCCAGATGCTTGTCACCTAAAAGGTCACGTGTCCCTCAGCGCATCCAGCAACAGCGCTTTCTCAAGGACGTCCTCGTCCACAAACCAGGCACCCCTGCCCGGAGCGGGCCAGAGTCAGCCCTGCGTGCATGGCCGTGGACGCAGAGCCAGCCCCACGCCCAGGGGCGAGGTGGTGAAGGGGGAAACCACGGGCCCCTGCAACAGTAAGCAGCCGTTTGGTCAGTTTCTCTTGAAACCAGTTAGCCGCCGTCCCTGGGATTTGATCAGTCAGTTGGAAAGCTTTAACAAGGAGCTTCAGGAAGAGGAAGAGAGCAGTCAGAGCAGCAGCGAGGACGGTGAGGCAGAGCGGTGGCAAGAAGGCTGTGCCGATTCCATTCCCAAGAGTTCCAGCTTCAGTGAAGACAGCTGGGAAACGAGAGTCAAGGAGCCGCCGAGGAGGCTGGTGCCAGAGGACCCTGCGTTTAGGTCGGGAGGAGTTAGGAGTAAGTCTGAGAGCTGGAGTGAGGAGCAGAAGCCTGGCCCACTGTGTGTGCATCCCCAGTCCCTGGGCCCCTGGCAGGTGGAAGACCGCAGAGGTGGAGCGTTGCTGTCAGCAGACGGAAACTCCATCACAGAGAAGGGAAGCCAGGAGGTCAAGAATAGACTAAACGAGCTCGCAGTTAGCCCGGGTCCTGCGAAAAGAAAAGCATCTTCTAGATTCAGTGACACAAAACCAGCGCCCCCATCTGATCCAGCTGAACCGAGGGAGCCCCAGGAAAGTCAGAAGCTCTCCAGTGTTGTAAATTCTGTGGAACTGAGCAAAGCTGTGCGTCCAAAGGCCGATAGTGAGGAGGAGAGGGGCCCAGTGGTCTCGCTGTCTCTCGCTAGCAAACCCCGAGGGCTCTCTGCACCAGACTTGAGGTCCGTGGGGCTGACCCCGGCACAGAGGGCTGATGAGTTAGATGGGTCTTTACGGGAAGCAAGTGCAATAGAAATCCCCCCAAACGAGTCCCTTCAAGCGAGGGCTGCGAGGATCCTAGGCATTGAAGTGGCCGTGGAGTCCCTGCTGCCCAGCACCAGGAGGACAAGACAGGGCCAGCATCTTGCACCTGATGAGAGTACCCACAGGCCGGAGTCCCCCAGGGAGGAGTCCGTGTCCAGTCCAGCACGAGCAGATGACCCGCCAGTGTCCACTGACGCCTTTTATGGCAGGAGAAAGTGCGGCTGGACTGAAAGTCCCCTTTTTGTAGGGGAAAGGGACAGTGCCCGACGGGCCTCCCGGGCTTCTGAGCACTCAGTTGTGGATGGGGTCGTCCCCAGCAAGGCCCCCGGCCCGGAGCCTCAGCCCGGCCCCCAGGAGTTCAAGTTCTTCAATCACAAGGACGTGGGGACAAAGCCACCCTTCAGGTCCACCTTGTTCCATTTTGTAGAAAGGACCCCAAGCGTGGCAGGCTTAGAAAAGAGGCTCAGAAGCACTTCCAAAGTGATTGAAAGTTTACAGGAGAAACTGGCTTCCCCCCCTAGGAGAGCAGACCCGGACCGCTTGATGAGGATGAAGGAGGTGAGTTCCGTGTCTCGGATGAGGCTCTTGAGCTCCCGGAGCGGTGAGGAGGAGGCCGAGGAACTGAAGGCCGAGAGGGGCCTGGAGGCACAGCCAGGAGGCCTGGTGTCCCTGAACGCAGGGGACCTGGCACGGAAGGCAGGGCCCTCACTCTCTGTCTCCAAGGGCATCCTCTCGCTGGAAGAAAACAGGCATCCAGCAGCACAAAGGGAGCAGGACGTGGATGAGGACTTCCGGTGCCCAGGTGAGGAGGCAGGTGGCGGGCAGGTGCTCGGGATTAATTTGGCGTCCTTAGAGCACAAAAAATACCAGGTTAGTGAAAAATGAAAATCTGCATATTCGGAAAAAATAAAGTTGACCCTGTGAATTATTGTACCAAAAGATTTTTCATTTTACAAAGAATTATCCCAAAGCTTTTCTGAAAAATCAAGATCTCGGGGCCAGCCCGGTGGCGCAGGCGGTTAAGTGCACACGTTCCGCTGCGGCGGCCCGGGGTTCACCGGTTCGGATCCCGGGTGCGCACCGACGCACCGCTTGTTAGGCCATGCTGTGGCGGCGTCCCATATAAAGTAGAGGAAGATGGGCATGGATGTTAGCCCAGGGCCAGTCTTCCTCAGCAAAAAAGAGGAGGATTGGCATTGGATGTTAGCTCAGGGCTGGTCCTCCTCACAAAAAAAAAAAAAAAAAAAAAAAAAAAAATATCAAGATCTTGTATTTTAAATGATTATATCTTTATATAAATGATCTATGTAAACAACTGTATAACATTTTCTACATAAATGACTTTTGGCCCCTGACAGGATAGAGGTAGATTAGTGAAGTGTCCCACCTGTAGTGCAGGCCCCTTGATAAACCCTGTAGGAGACCGTGACACTTGTACTCTGTTCTGTCTTCCTAACATAATAGGCATTCACCCAAATGACCCCCATTGCTCTTTATTAACCTGATAAGAAAAGACAGACCATGTTGATTCAATGAACCACCAGCCCATGATGCTATCTTAACATTTTCACCTTCCAGAATCCATTGCCCCCATGTTTATGTTTTTAGTACCATACCATTTAATAACTTTAAAAGGTCTTGGAGACAACATTAACACTTTCTCAACACCCCACCCCTAAAAAGTTCACCCACCAACTCTGTTTCTTAAAGTCCCCCGAGTTCTGATCGCTCAATTCCAGGCGAGATGGTTTGGCCACAGCATCCCACAGGCCTTTGGGTCTCTCCATCTCTCACCTGAGCGTGTCTTCAGAGCCTTTTCCAGTTCCCACTGACAGGAACAGTGACGACCCCAGACACAGTTCCACCATATCTGTTCTGACACAAGCAGGCCAGGGGACTCGCAGCGTCTCTGGTTCAGGGCCTGGGGATTATCCGTTCTGTATCCTGGACATGATTAGAAGAGTGGTTGACAAAGATATCAGTGGTCCACGCAGTAAACCACAAACCGGAAGGGACTTAAATCATTAGTCCAGAACTTCACAGTAAGGAGAAACTGCGCCCCTGACCGAGTGTTACAGCTCTGACCAGACCCCAGCCAGGCCTCCTGAGCCAGGCCCTGCCTTATGGTGCTGCCCCAACAGGGTGGTCCCCCCGCCCCCACTTCTCTGTTTTCTATTTTGAAATCTAAGGATTTAAAAGTAGATGGAAAAGATCACTTGTTTCAGCTACAAGAATCCAGAAATTTTTGTTAAAAAAATCTACTTGGCACTCTTTAAATGTTCCCACAAATGCAGTGTGATTCCTAGGAGTGTTCGCCAGTGTTGCTCTGTGCCTTATGCAGAATACGTTGTTGAAGTAATCCATTAGTCAGGGCCCACTTGGATCGTCTGGTTTGACAAATTTGGTCTTTGCTGAGGAAGAGAATGAAGAGCCTTTGCCATTGTGATGGGAAAAGTATTCCATGGCCCATTTTTGAGCTGTTGGGATTTATTAGGCTTCAGCACGATTCCTCCTCCCTCCCCTGCTCCCTCTAGAAATATGCCCATTCGCTTTCAAGTGCCAGTTAAAAAGTGAGTTTTCTTATCTGTAAAATCAGGATGATTTTATCAGTCCTGCCTCTTCCTGAGAATTGTAAGGATTTTAAAATAAGACAAATCTTGTTAGAATAAAACACCAGTTTGTAAAGATTTCTGTGTCTCAGTCCATGGCCACATATTTCTGGGAATGTTTTATAACATAAAATTTCTAGTCCAATAAAGCACTCCCTCAATTTTTAGCTTGATCATTTGGCATGTGAGTGGGGTTGGATAGGCATCTGAAAACACCTAGAGAATGTCAGTTTTAATTTTAGCCAGCCATTAAAGATACCTCCCCGTGACTTTATTATTTTTTTCACTATAGTTACTAACAAGTAGAAATTTTATTTTTCTCCTCTCCGTCTGATGCATTTGTTAATACACAATAAAATGACCAAAAATCTGAAGGCAGAGAGTTACATTGACAGAAGCTAACTTGGACCTTCTTAAGTGCTTGGATAGAGGACACCATTAGGGACAGTCTCTTACGCTGCAGCTCAGGTCACCTCTGTCAGCCTTCCATGTGACGGTGACAGGACCTCAGTAGTCAAAGGCAGTCCTTTTGAGAGGCCATATATTGAGGTAGTAAAACTTTTGACATATGTTAACTTTTCCACTCATTGTTGCTTCACAAATTAGAATAAAATTAAATCTTTGTTGCTTTGTTGATGATAAGCTTTTGGATTTGTTTTCCTTCTGATATATCATTTTGAGCACAAGAATCATCAGCCCCATCCCCACTCCACCCCTGCCTCTGTCACCCCCATGTGCCAGAACCATGTCATTACTCCCAAATTCACAGCCCACTTAAATTCAGATTTTGTTCTGGAATTTCAAAATGAGATTATACTGTGTCTACCTGTAACACACCCCCAACACACACACACACACACACATGCACACACCCCTCCAGAACTTGATTATCTGTGTTGTGTTGTAATACCTATCGTATTATAAAGTGTCTTTATTTCAGATTAAAGATAGTCACTTCAGCTAACATCTTTTCAGTGGTCTTTTTGGGCTCTGGCTAGGAAGTCAACAGCTCAAAACTAATTCAGGTGACCGAATCCTATCTCCACTGAATGGATTGTGTCCCAATTCAGAAGTGTAATTCCCGGCACTGATAGTGTTCAAAACCTGCTGGGCCCATCAACCTCCGTGGTATGCTGTCCTAATCCAAGTACGAGAGGAGAGTGAGGAGAGACTGTCTGCACCAGGCTCGCAGTGGGTTACATCTGGGAAGGTTGATGATGCACAATAGTGCCATTAGAAGGCTAGACATTAGCACATCTTCAAGGGCAGTAACTTTCAAGGGTGTTAATGCATGAAATACCCACCAGGGCAGCCTCAGTAAGTTGTCTTCACCTGAACTGTTGCCCATGGGAACCAGGATTCCAAATACTCAGGGGAACCTGTCTGTCCTCTAGACCTGTGCTGGCCATGTTGTAGCCCCTTGTCACATGTGGCTTCTGAGCACTTGAATTGTGGCTTGTCCAAATTGAGATGTGCTATAAGTGTAAAATAAACACCAGAGTTCAAAGACAGTACAAAAAAATCTAAAATTTCTCAATTTTTATATTAATTACCTGCTGAAATGGTAATATTTTGGATGTATTTGGTAAAATAAAATACATAATTAAAATTAATTTCACCTGTTTCCTTTTATTTGTTTTTTTTTTTTAACATGGCTACTAGAAAATTTAAAATAGCATATGTGGCTCACATTATATTTTTATTGGACCCAGATTCTCCATGATCTGAAGAAGGAGCCCATTGCTCTACAGAATTCTTTCCCCAGCTCCCTGTCTCTGGGCCCTTAGCTTCAACAGTGGGGCTGTGGGGGGCAGGCATGTTTTTGGAGGTGTCTCCGTGTACCTGGCCCTGAGAGGAGCTGGTAGGTGCCCAGTGTCTACGTAATTTAAGGCTTAATAGATGCTCCACCTCTTCTAGGCCTCTGACCAGCCGAAAGTGTGCGCTTTCCACAGTGTCATCCATTAGTGACCACCCACCTCATTCTCAGTGGAGAAAAAGACCTCTTTGCTCACAGGCTCTCTCTCAAAATCAGCACGCGATGAGGCTGATTGAGCACAAAAATGTAGCGCTAGCTGTTAATATCCTGTGTTGTCACATTGGGTGGTGTTAGGGGTAAAATATGAGAAGGCGTCTGACACGCGTGAACTCCGCTTGCTTTTAGTCAGATGGGCACTTGGTGCAGTAAATCCTGTTTGAGTAGGAGCAGACTCCCTCTCCTAAATGCGGAGACCATCCTATCTGGTTTATAATGTCTGACTCACAGTGCTCTGAACACTGTCTCAGTTGTCACAGTTGTAGTCTCGTATTGTAAACCTATCGTGGCGCAGGTGAGGAGGTGTGAGGAGGACGTGGTAACACATTTTGCTGCTAGAGAAATCAAAATCTACATGGCTTTTGTAATGCTCAGTTGTTCAGATGGACTGGAGAAGAGATTGTTTTATAATAGTTTTTATAACTATCAAATTGTACCATCCTTCCAGGTTTCTTATGTGCTTTCTCTTAAAAAGTTAGGAAACCTCTGAGCTGCTGTGGCAGGAAATTCTGACCACAGGAGCGCAGAGGTCTGTGAATCCTGAGGTAGTCAGATTTAGCATCACTAAATTGCAGCCCTAGTGGCAGTTTAGGACTATTGTTCCTTTGTATGGTGTCCCGTTTTGGAAACACAGGTCATCTGGGCCCAGTTTGGGCTTTTCCAGTGTAGGCTCTAGAATGGACCAGTGTGGCAGCCCAGACTCATGCACACTCGTGTGTAGGAAGACCTGGAAGGTTGGTGCTAACAGGTGTGCATCCAGCCTGGGCCTGCCTGCTGCTGGTGGTGGTCAGAGACAGGAGGCCTCGCATTGCCAGCCAGGCAGTCAGGATCTCAGGGTCCTCAAGCCTTCCAGGGACAGCACTTGATTACAAAGATGTGCATCCTAAAGCAAGCTTTCATTAGAGTTATAATTTACCAAAAATGAAAAAAGAAATCCTCAGCATCGGCCGGGCACACCACTGCTGGGTTACAAGCGTTGCATCTAAAGTGAATTATGTTCCGCTATGAAAAGCAGGAAGAGACCATCAGAATATTAAGCAACTCATATTTTTCCATCTGTGATTAGGTAATGATTATACGTGTCCCTTTAAAACAGACTTTTGATGATAGTTCTTCACTCCTTAGTGAAAACAAGGTTGTTGAAATGTCTAAAAATTAACTTTTATATACTTGTGGATTTGGCTCCCTAAACACATTTATTTATGCTCTGAGGATTAAACAGAAAACAGACCAGTTGAATACATCACTAACTTTCTTGTTTTCTTTTTTACAGATTCATACGACCCTAGCAGAGTGGAGAGGGTGTGATGAGATGTGGGTGAAGCACGGGACGCCTGTCGTTTGCTGCTCGAGTGATGTCTGGTTTAGCCACCAGCCCAGCTTGCCCGTGCATAAGCTGGAAACTGCCGGCTCATGGGCAGCATTACCTCCTTTACCACTGCCACCAGGAAGCTTGTCATCCCTGCAGAATCGCTCTGTGGAAATAAAGCAGTAGTCCATTAAGACCATCTGTTTTTTGTAGCATGAAGACTTAATACCCACATTTAGCAAAGAGTCATATAGACTCTCCTTAATGATGGGTTTAGCCACGCTGGTAGATAGTTTGGTGTTAATCTGGTTCTAAGTGAAAATTTATACGTGGCTGATATCGTGAATGATTTTGAAAGGACTGTGAATGTTGTAAGTTCCCCTTGGCATCTTCACGGCCTGTGGTCCAGGCTCACGTTAAGGGATTTGGGATATAGGCCATCACCTCGTGTTCCCGCACCTGGAGTTTAGGGGAAATGTGAATGAATGTGTATGATCCATCGCTAATTAATTTGGCCTTCTGTTGCTGGAAGTGACTTTACTTATAAGTAACTTGCCATCAGAGAATAAAAGCAATATCTTTTAAGTTCCTAAAAAATTAAAACTTGTACTATAATGTACTAAGAGTATTATTTATCTGGCAATGAAATACTTGGATCGTTTGCAAACATGCCATTGTCTGCTTTGCACTCAGTATTATCTATTTTTATTTTCTGTGTGAATGTTTAGAAAATGTTTATATGATAAATAATTGCTGGTTTAAAATAGATCATTTTAACAAAGTATATTTCTTTTTACAAAAATGCTATTTTTCTATGATGTAAACAATTGTTAGGTGGCAGATTTTTAAGGAAGTATTATTTTATTTAAGAGTCTGTATCCTTTTGTGTGAGAGGAACCCAAGGAGGGTTCACATTTGCTTTAAAGCGTATGTCCCTTACCCAGTCACAACTCTGCTACTTTTATTTTATCTTAGAAAGAGATGTCAATATAGACATTTTACAGGGTTAATAAAATAAACTTTTCACAAATATTTTTTACAAATGTAGCTGTAAGGTTGTAATTGAAAATAACCATCTTAAAACCAGCCAACATCCTTACAACAGTTGTCGCTGCCATATCCCCTTGAATTACCAAAAAATGTAGTTTCATCTTTGTATGTCTGTGGGGATCTGCCCTGAGACCATACTTCCATCCTCCTGCCATGCCCCTTTAAAGAAATATGTATTTTTATCTAGAATGATCCTTAATTAGTCTCTGCATATTTTTTAAAAGTGCTAGAGATATTATATATATGCCATTACAAAAGTATTACAAGGCCTCTATATTGCTGTGTTTACTGTTGCATTAACCTGCACAAAGTGTATTCATTTTATATGCATTTGTCCCTTCTTTCTAGTAAGGCATTCTTGTTAGCCAGCATTTCCTGAATGGTTTCTTGTCTTTTTTTTTACCTCTCTCCCCTTTATTTCTTTCCTTTCTTCTCTAGTGAATCAAATTAACTTTTTTTTTTTTTTTTTTTTTTGAGAAACCACCTTATCTATTTTTAGATGTTTCAAATTCCTAAAATGTGAACTATTGGGTGGTCTGCAGTTTGGCCCTAAAATGACTCTGACTGGGCATTCACGGCCTGTTTTTATCTGTACCATATGATTTTATTTCATAAGAACTTCATGTATTTGGACTGTAATAAACAAAACAGAATCTAAGGAATTCTGAACCATCTTTTCAAATACACTTATCTGCCGTCTTGGTTCTTACCTGTTACCCAGAGTCGCTTCTCTCCAGATCTCGGCTCTTGTGAAAGGTTAGAGTAGGCTCTCGTTTTCACAATACAACAAGAGGGGCCATGTCTCTGCTAGGAAAGGCTGAAACTGTTTCTCCCAGGAAATTTTAGTGGGGAAGAGGTCAATTACTCTGTTATAGTTGGTGAATCACTCAAGTCATCTGGTAGAACTGAATGAGGGCTGCTACCTGGAGGTCTTTGTGTAGTGTGCTTCCCTCTTTAAATGCAAATGAAAGGAGGTATACATATATGTACATATACATATATCTACACACATACCACCTAGAGACACGTGCATATATACACACGCATGTATATGTATATACGAACTCTGTTCTGACTGCCCCTTAAATTTTGTTGATTCCATCTAAAGACTTCTTTTAATTAAAAGAATTAAATTGCAGTTTATTTCTCAAGAGAAAGAGAAGGATCCTAAAGAGAAAAAGTTTCTGTGGCTTATGTATATCACAAAATACAATACTCTTGTTTTATTCTAAATTATTGTGTCATATCTTTTGGAAACCATTCTGAATTTAGTTGAAATTATCAATAGTTATACTTTTAACCTTAATTTCTGGATTCCAGCCTGTATATAAATCTTCTGGCGGGGAAGGGAGGAAGGTAACTTTGAAAATTTGACTTTTAAACTTGCATATTCTAAGATAAATAATACAGTCTTTAATCAAAAATAGCTTTCCCAGTGGTTTTGAACTTAATGCTAATTATTTTGTTAATTCTATTTTTCATACATACACAACTCTATTATTATGTGTGGCTAGAAAAAAACTTTTCATATTTTATGTTTGTCATTGTTTTTCTCATACATATGACTTACTGTTGGTGTTTATTGGGGGCTTATAAAATTAAAAGTTCTAATTTTGATTATTTGGACTAAAAGTTATATGAGGAATTACATATGAAATGTATTTGTATTTCTTGATTTGCAAGAGAAGGGAAAAAATTATGGTAATATAGCTCTAATTACCTTTCTTTGAAGAAAATTTCTGAATGATTGAAAACTAAATATCTGTATTATCATTGTCAATCTTATGTTTCTACAAACCACAGAAAATTCCTCTGTAAAAACGCAGTAGCCCCGATTTCATCTTCAGGATTCTTTTCCATGTTGTTCATAACTATTTGGATTTCTTTTTTAAAAGTTCCTTAAAAAAATGTATTTACTGTCTGAGATCTTGATTTTCTTACTAGAATTGTAGGTTAAGGGCCGGCCCTGTGGCTTGGTGGTTAAGTGCGCGCGCTGCGATGCTGGTGGCCCGGGTTCGGATCCCGGGTGCGCATCGAGGCACCACTTCTCCGTTCATCCTGAGGCCGAGTCCCGCATACAGCAACTAGAAGGAGGTGCAGCTACGACATACAACTATCCACTGGGGCTTTGGGGGGAAAAAAAAAAAAAAAAAAAAAAAAAAAAAAAAAAAAAAAAAGAATTGTAGGTTAAGGTTGTGATTCATGTGAAAATTCAAAGGAGAACTTTTTCTATTCCATTTGACTATTAGTGAAGGGTTGTTGCCAATGGAAGTTCAACTGTTTAAACTCAAATGACTCTGAAACTAGATAGACCCTTACCACTTTCTGCAACAGCTCTGATAGCAGCTGGGTTAGGGCTTGTGAGGAAAAGTTATGCTGATCCACTGTTGACACAGCTCCTCCCCAGCTCTGAGCAGAAAGGCCTGACGGAAGATAAGACTAACCCACCATTTCTTCTGTGGCCCCCAAAGATTATCTTTGTGTGCTTGGCTGTATTTTTGTTTGTTTGTTTAAAATGATTAAATAATACACAATTGTCAGGTTAGCATCTCTTGGAAAGTGACCGGTGCAGCAGAGTTCTCCCTGTATAGATAGCTAGCTGAGAAACACTTCCAATCTTCTCAGTTCTTGCAGGCAGTTATTTTGCTGTTTGGACCATTGTTCTGCCAGATCCCTCTGTGCAGGGAGGTGAAGCTTAAGGGATGGAGTGAGGGGCAAGATTGGTTCTTAAGCTGCAGCTATTGCAGGCCTGGGGAATTTTTGCATTTTCTTTTTGTTTTGTTTTTAACTGCAGATTCTGTACATCTGTTTGTGGGAGGAGAGTTGCTACTCAGGACAGGATTTAAGAGACACATTCCAAGTGACCTTTAAGAGTCTGCGTGGTGGGAGGTCTTTTGCAAAGAGTGTGGGTTGCTCCACTTGGACCCACCAAGCTAAGAAGAGAGATTATAAAATAACATTGTAGAAAGAATGGTCCCCAGCCTGCGTGGTTTGCTTAAAAAAAAAGAAGTGGTTAAGATCATAATTCAGATTGAAGCCTCTAGAAAAGGTCGATATAGTATAGCAAACTGCCCGTGGAAACAGCCACAGGGTTCATCCGCAGTGTGGGGAGGCGGGCAGAGAGCTGGCAGATTCCTGGCTGGGACTGGAGAGCCCCGTCACAGTTGTGTTTACTACAGAGGACAGGGAGGTCCTTGTTCCGTGGCCTCTGCTCAGCGACTGAAACTGGAACCCAAAGTCAAGTCCCGATTGTCGAGCTGTTCGTCCCGTTGCCTCGGCGGGTGTGAGGAGCAAGTGCTCCCCATAAGATGCTCCGCTTTCCTGTGTGGAAGCCAGGCCTGCTGGGCTCCGCTCAGCCAAAGGGAGCAGCCTTCTCTCTCCCACCTCCCTTCACCCGGCCTTGCAGAAGGGCCAAGATGTGTGACGTTCACGGTCACGGAGCGAGAGGGAGACAAAGGCAAGTTCAACTTGAGAAGCATATGGCAGAAATTAGAAATGAAAACCATATGTCCTGGCCGGGGAGGACAGCAGCAACCTACAGATTATACAAGCCAGTGAAGTACTCTACACCTGGGTCAGCTGAAATTCGAGCCTCACACTCAGGCCTGTCAGGAAAGCTAAGCAGAAGCACCCCCCAAAAAAGAAACAACAAAAACTTCTAAAATTTGGTGAAGACAAGGCCCTGTAACTCCCACAGAAACTTTGCATCTGCCTGTCATTTCTTCGGGCACCGTTAATACGTAAGGCAGGTAGAGAGGGTCCCAGGAGAAGACACAGCTGGTAATGGCCGAGTGCCGGCTTCAGGCCGTCACCCCCAGATCAGCCAGTACCAGAGACCTTAGGTGATGCGGGGTGAGGGTGGGCGAAGAATAGCAATACCAGCAAAGCACAGATGAATGTCCTCCAGGAGCTCTTGTATCTCTCTGCACAGTGTAAAGACTTGCTATTTCAGGATGGGCAGCCTGCTCAGTAACACGTGTTCCAAATAAAGATTTTGCATGAAAGTACCTATGTCCGTTGTCTTTGGCTCTGGGTGCAAGAGCTGCCCTGAAGCCGTACAGGCTGGTGCTGCAGGGCTGCGGGCTGCACAGGGCGCAGCTCGGATGGTGTCAGTAATGCATGGACCCGTGGCCATGGAGCTCCAGCACC